GGCTTGTGCTGTTTGGAGATGGAGGCCCCTGACCGATGTCAAATTCAATGGTCTGGGACTGTGCGCCATTGATTCTATCTCTAACATGTTGAGGGCAAAATTTCAATTTGAGAGTTTCGTGTCGGATAAAAATAAAATTTAAAATAGGGGGTATAATGATATTAATATACATATAAAACATAAAAACCTAATAAAAATATACGATCACAAAAAGGTTTATATATGGATAAATTAAATTTTAACGTGGAGGTATTTAAAATTTTATTCAAAATTTTACAAATTTTATGAAGAAATTATAAATTTTAATTAATCAAATGGGTCCGCCCCATGGTTGAATCCGTCCAAATATAAAAATATATATTATAAATCAATAATAAGTAACAAACTTAAATATCGAACGGCTGTCGGAAAAAATAGTAACAAACAATAAATAACACGTCAACTATGAAATTATCTACAATTTTAAATTACAAAGGAACCTCCTTAATCAGATAAAGCGATTGAAGATTTTAAAAACATTACCACATATTGTTTATGGGAACCGTCTGTTTCTGTTTGTTGGTTAAATCAAACGGTCACGCCGTCGTTAGTCTTTTTTTTTTTAAAAAAAAAAAATTTGACGTATGTTTCGGATTGTTATTAATTTAAACCGCCGGCCACACCATTGCATAGAAACATTTTAATATTGTCTATTTTTTTTTTAATTTAACGTATGTTTCGGATTGTTATTAGTTTGACATGTTCCAAGTTCGTTACATGCAACAATATATTCACTGATTAATTATATCTGTTTGTTATGTTTATGTGTATGTGTAATATAATTTCGTCCACATTTTGTAAGTAGAAATTGCAAACATATAGTTCAAATATGTGTTTCCATAATTTATGGACAATGTGACAAAAAAATAACCCAAAATTTTGGGTGTTGAATTGAATTCACCTCTTTTTTATTTTTTTCTTTGCTTCGATTCAGATTTTTTAATTACTCAAATTAATTTTTTTCTAAATTAAACTAATTATTATTCAATTAATTTTAGATTTCAACCCATCTCCGAATCAAATAAAATTATGAAATTCAAAATATTTATAGGTTTTAATATGAAGGTGGGCATCACTGGTTGGGTTAGTAGTAGATTCGGTTCCAAAAAGATAATACCGATGGATTTAATGATTTGATTAGGCCCAATCTCAATAGGCCCATTAATTCCATTAAGCCCATTCAATAAATCTATGGCCCATTTCTACAACATATATAAGGCTTGCATTTGGATTACAGTCGGTGGGTTTAAATATTAGTCATTAAATCAAATTAAGATTATAAAAAAATGGGTATATATTGGCTCAGGAAAGGGTCAATAAATTTAAAATACAAGACGTTACGTTAAATCTACAAATACGAAGACAAGTTTTTCCCAAGTGCGTAAACCCTAGATTGGCCGCTGCTTTGTCTTTTTGGTTTGTCTCTTCAGTCCCCCGTCGTTTGTCCCCGCTCGGTTCTTGCCTCTTCGCTGTTCGTCTCCGTCTTTCTCGGTGGAGGAGGAAGTGATTTCTCTCTCTCGATCTATCTCTGTATCTGTCTTTCTCCGTTGAATCGGACGGGCGAGATTTGTAACTCCATCTTTCACCTCGGGTTCTCTTCGTTAGGTAAGGAATCGCGTTCGATTAGGGTTTATATGCTTGTTCGATTAGGAATCCGTTTGATTTGTATCTCTGTCGATCCATGTTGTGTACTAGTGTTTGTTTTTTCTGTCGAAACTCTGATTCTGTGCCCATGTCTGGACTCTTGTTGTTTTTCGATTTTGGGTTGTCCTCAGGCCAATTCGAACCGTTAATTAGCCAATGGGTCGGAAGAAGCCGAGTGCGCGGGTTGGGGATGACGAACAAGTCCCGGCAGGATCTAAATCCAAGAAGAAAGCGCTTGTGATCGACGATGATGAGTACTCCGTAGGTACGGAGTTGTCTGAGGAACCTAAGGTTGAGGAAGAGAAGGTTGTGATCACAGGGAAGAAGAAGGGTAAGAAAGGTAAAAAGGGTGTGCAGCAAGATGACGACGAGGACGACAGTGTTGCTGATAAGTTGGCGGATGAGGAAGAGGAGATTGCTTTTGTAGGGAAGAAGAAGTCGAAAACTAAGAAAGGTGGGGGTGTTAGCTTTGCCATGCTCGGTGAGGATAATGACCAGGACAATGGTGAGGGAGAGGATGAGCCTGCGAGTAAGAAACAGGCGTCGAAGAAGGGAAAAACGGGTGGTAATTCATTTAGTGTTTCAGCTTTTGATGCCCTTGGTGGTGGTGATGATGATGATGGTAGTGAGGATAAGGAGGAGGAGGTGCATGGGGATGATGATGATGATGATGATGATGTTCCTGCAATAGCATTCTCTGGTAAGAAGAAGAAATCCTCTAAATCCTCCAAGAAGAGTGGCAGTTTGTTCAGTGCTGGATTGCTTTCTGAGGAAGACCATGTAGAGGCATCAACTTCTAGAGATGGTGGTGATGCGGAGGAGGAGGAAGATACATCCGAAATCATGTTTTCTGGTAAGAAGAAATCGTCAAAAAAGAAGGCCAGCAGCAGTGTTTTCGCTTCGTTGGGGGATGAGTCGGAGTTCGGCATGCATGCTACGGACGGGGCAGAACATGAGAAACATGACACACAAACTGGTAAAGATGATTCGAAGGCCAACAAGAACGAGGAGGTTGTGGAAACTTCGAAGGGTAAGAAAAAGAAGAAGAATAAGAGTGGTAGGACCGCACAAGAAGAAGATGATTTGGACAAGATTCTTGCAGAACTTGGAGAAGGGTCTACTGTTCCGAAGCCTTCTGCACCACCTCCAGTAGAGGATAAAGTTCAAGCTCAGCCCGAGCCGGCTGCACCTGCGGAGAATGCTGGTGACAATGGAGGAGAAGAAGAGACTGTTGAGTCTGCTGCAGCAAAGAAGAAGAAGAAGAAGAAGGAGAAAGAGAAGGAAAAGAAAGCAGCCGCTGCTGCCGCTGCTGTGGCAGCCCATCTCGTTGAGGGCCAGGGGGAGA